TATTCAAATAGAAATTAAAATAAATTCAGTTAAATTAATTATACATATTAAATTATACCTAAACCTAAAGATTCAAATATATATTAAAATATATTTAATTAAATTAATTATACATATTAGTTGTTAAATTTATACTCCATAGATTCAAATATAATTAAATCAATTACAAATATAATTAAATAAATTATAAAACTAATTAAATTTTTTCCTTTCATTATAAATTAATAAAAATCTAATTAAATTAATTACAACTAATAACACAATATTCAACAACTAATTACATTAATTATAAATAATTTAACTAAAACAATTATTAAAAAAATTACTCCCTCCGTCCCATAATTATTGTCCAATTTTACTAAAATGAAAGATTTTATTTTTTGTCAAACTTAATTAGATTTTATCTTAAACAACCGGATATACCCCTACATAAATAATTGTTTAACCAACTAAGATTTTATGGATGATGTTTTTTACTAAGGACAAATGTGTAACTTGATCCATAAAAAGTCAAATTGGACAATAATTTTGGGACAAAATTTTTTGGGCAAAGTGGACAATAATTATGGGACGGAGGGAGTACAACAAAAAAATTTTTAAAAAAAAATGCCCCGACTGGCCGACCCGAACAGTGGCCAGCCCGGGAACTTTGGTCAGGTTTCTCACCGGCCAAGGGGTATGGATTGGCCTGGTCAGGGACCGGCCAATCCTTGGAGAGTGCCGACTCGAAGGCCGGTCACTCTTCAAGGATTGGCCGGTCCTTGACCAGGCCAATCCATACCCCTTGGCCGGTGAAAAACCCGGCCAAGGTTCTCGGGCTAGCCACCATTCGGCTCGGTCAGTCTGGGCAGCAATCTTTTTTTTAATTGTTTTTAAATAGAATTTGGAAAAAAAAAATTACCAGCATCGATGGTGAGTTCTAGTTATTGACGGTCACGTTCCGTCATTTTTTTGTGTCCGATTATTAGTAGATCTAGATTTGAAGAAGAAGAAGAAAGGAAGAAGGAGAAAAAGAAAGAATAAAAGAGAAAGAAGAACAAGAGATGCGGAAGGAGAAGAAGGAAGAAAAAATAAAATAATTCAAGAGTAAAATTGAAAAAAATGAACTGCAAGTGAATAATTTTTGAACTGCAAGAAGCAATTTAGTATTTCCAATTCTGAGTTTTTGGTCTCCGAAACCACCACCACCACCCAACCAAGCTCTTGCGTATAATACCTCTACACCCATCCTTACACTCTACCAATATCAAAGGATATAAACTATAGGTTTATCTGACGGCTGTTTAATGAAAATTACTCCTCCGTCCCACAAAAATATAGTACAATTCAAAATGTATAATTTTTTTTTAATTTGGTCAACTTAGCAAGTATAACTCATTTTTATCCTGTGAACTTCCAGTTTTACCCCTTAGTGAGAAAATTTTTCACCGTCAAATTCTAAAACTAAAAGACGACGGAAACGTCGTGGGAGGCGATGCCACCATGGTTGTCCATCAAGTGCGGGAGCGAACTGGGTGCGGAAGGGATTTTGTGGTTCGGAGTTGAGGAGAAAACAAAGCCCCAAAGGTGAAGGTGTTGGGAAAGGGGGCTTGGTTGGAGAGAAAACAAGGCCCCAAAGGTGAAGGTGTTGGCAAAGGGGACTTAGCTACGGTGGGGCAACCGAGAATATAATCATCAGATCCGTCAAACTCTGTTCAAATTGAACGCCATCAGCTCCCAGAATTAAATTGAACCTGATAGGATTGAGAATTAAGGATTGGATTTTATAAGAGATTCTTCTTGGTCAGGGATTGTATCCCTGGAATCAGACGGCGACAAAGAATCTAATCTGAAAGAGTGGTCTGACGAGGCGGAGGCGGCGGCGAATTTAGTGGTGGTTGTGGTGGTGATATTGGTTTCCCGACACATCACCGTCAGAAATCAGACTTGTAAGTTGGGTACCGATTGAATATATTTATCGGAAAGGATTTATCAGGAGGGGTAGGTGTCATTTTATCTGTTTCTATTTTAACTTTTATGAAATTGGACTATTTTTGTGGAACAAAATTTTTTATCAAATTAGACTATTTTTTTGAGACGGAGGGAATAGTACTTAATTATTAACGTTTAATACTGATTTATAGCTGCTAAATTCATTAATAGTTACGGATTAAGTAATAACTAACTTTTATTACTTATATTTTGTATGTAGTTTCAGCATCACTTAATTCATTAAGAAGTTATTTTTTATTATCAAACACATTAAAATAAAAAAGTGGTTAATCGAAGAATTTTTGAACATTATGTGACTTTATCAAACTACCCCGTACATGTTATTTATCACGATTTCAATACTTAATTTTATAACCTAAAATTTATTTCATTCAAATAGTTTATCTCTTGTAGTTTATTATAGCTGAGTTTGCCCAGTGAAAAAGAAAATAAAAATAAAATAAAAAACAACAACATAAGGTCATCACAGTATAGCCCAAAAAGATTTGGTTTCATTATATATCCATCAAAGATCAAATTGATAACTTTTAAATTATAATGTGACGAAGCATGGATTTGTACGGTACTTAGAACGGGCGGCGATGATGACCTAGCGGCGACGAACGGCCTAAAACATGCAAGACAGAGCCTCGGGTGTCTCCCGAGGATAGACGCTCCGATACTTAAGTCAGTAAAGGAATAGAGATAATAGAGAGAGAAGGATGTGTATCGTGTGTAAAAGGTATAGAAGATAGGTAGAAAATATCAATTATGGGAGAGGCACCACCTCTTTATATAGAGCTAGTGTTACCTGTTTCCTGAAACCCTAACGGAATAGGTTTAGGCGGTGGCTTAATCTCCAAGTAATCTAATCCTAGGCCCAATAGGCCTAGGGTTAATTTATGACTCGTTAAGTGCCCCTAGCAAGCCATATTCTCGAGACTTGATGAGAAGGATATGGGTTGCTACAAGTGTTGATGTCTTCTCGAGTTTCGTGGTGTTGCCCCAATTCTCGAACTCTTTCGTTCTCGGGCATCACCTATATAAGATAAAGATAATAAAATGCCTAGAGGAGGTCTTTGTGTTAGCGAGTTCCTTATTAGAAGGGGTGTTTATGCCGAATTAGGAAGATGGCGCCTAAATTCTCTTATTTGAAGGGGAGAAGCTTATTTTCTCTTATTTGAAGGGGAGAAGCCTTTTTTTCTCTTATTTGAAGGGAAGAAGCCTTTATTGCCTGTCGTGCAGATCTTTCGTCGATATGCAATTTCACTCGATCTCGAGATAAATTAATTATTCGAGAAAGTGTTACCTCGATTCTGAGAAGGTAGTTGTTGAGTAGATAAAAGTCGAAATACGTCTTCTCGAACTCTTCGAGTAGTAGTAAGGTGTTCGAGGGATGCTTGCCCCTTCGAGGAGATGTATCTCTCGAAACTTCAATTTTCGAGGTTGCCCCTTGCTAATTGTTCTTTTTGATCAGCTGTGGAGCAAGTGCAGCTCCTCGATTATTTGTGCAATCGAAAGCTTCTTTTTGCTACTTGTCGGCTGGCGTCTTCTTGGCCAAACAAAGATAACTTTTTACGTGATCTTATAGTTGCAAAATTAGAACAACGAATTACACCGTGACTGCAAAAGATACAAAAGATTCCATGCTTCGTCACAATGTCTCATCTTTATCAAAGCCTACCGTACTAAATTTCTTTCATCTTCCCTCTACTTCTACCCCATTGATATATAGGAAGACATATTGATTGTATCGCTTAGCTTAGCCACTTTGAACAGTCGAAATGTGACTATGGATACTCAGGATAAGTTGGGGAACACTATAAATGGAATACTACCTAGTGGTTTTACTTCAGGGGAAACTAAGAATGGTGGGCAGATGATGATGGTCGAGCTGAACAATATTACTCCCCCCGTCCCCGAAAACATTGTCCTGTTTAGATATTCATTTCTAATACAAATTGAACTATAAGTAAAAATTTAAATTAAATAATAATTTTAAGATAAAAAGAATATTAGATAAATGCAATAGGTCAATTCTAAGAGCACTTTTAGTTTTAATGTTCAACTCTACAATGATAATTTTCCCCAATTATTCACAATAGAAATCCCAAATTTATTAGGTGCGTGTTGGCATCACTATATCGTTTTTTTTTTTTTCCTTTTTTCCGGTACCATGAACTAAGAATTCATCCTCATAAAATTTTATCATACTGTAGATGGGATTCCATAACTCTTCCTCTAACAGGTCAATTTAGAACTGAACTTATGAGACTAAAATCATGTTCCGGTATGACGTACCATAATTTAAGGATAAAGAGTAATTATTGGCAATCACAGTATTTGATCTTTTCGAAAAGCATACATTGTAATATTATTTTAATGACCAGAATGAATTATTGGAATAAATCATTGTAAAGTACTGTACGAGTTATTGATTAGTCAATGCTCACTATTGAGTAATGTCTCTTTCGGAGAAGAAAAAAATAAATTATAAACTAACGTTTTTGTTGATTTGGACTGTGACTCCCCTTATCACTATTAATGTTATTATTATTATTTTGAAAAAAAAAAAGGAATAGAAATGAATGGATTGATAGATATCGAGATATCATATAAAATAGAGCTAAAAAAATTCCCAATGGAATGGTCACATTTCTCAGTTCATAAGTCATGGACACTGAAGATACAGATAACCTTGTCCAGATCGCAAGAGAAATACCCATTTGCACTGTTGGCATAAGTACGTACGCAAGTATGTCAGCAAAGATGGCATAATTGAACTTCGAAACTGACTGAATTGTGAACCAGAATTTTCTATCCATTGTCCCAATTCTTTCCTATTTAGAAGCGTCCCAGAAATAGAGATCACATCTTTTGTTTCACTCAATATGCAACACAAATTTTACAAGCGGTTAAGTAACCATGGGGACGAAATGTTAGAAATTTGTACCTGATGAAAACTGGATTCTCGTGACTTTTCATTATGATCGTTACTTTACTGCGTGGGTTCTTATGATCGTTAATTTCATTTATTAGCCCTATTTTCCAACTGGTGTAACTTCTGAGTTCTGAGGGCTATGCTGATTGAGTTAACACATGCCAATTAGTTTTCTTCAAGAGAAAACTGATCTAGTTCCTTTAACTATACTAATTTCATGTCAATTGTCATTCCTAATACACTAATTTCCTCCACCAAAACGTTCAAATGGTGCGCCTACTATTTCTCTGGTGCCTGCTGTTCAACAATCAGTCATCAACTGTGTGGAAAAATTCTTTCAAGGTTATAATCCGACCCTTATGTTCCATCTAAGTTTCTATTTTTCTCCCTTTCCCCGAGAAGAAAAAGACAGGCACTACATAGGGAGGCTGCTTGGCTGCTTAGCTGTTATGCAGTCTATCTGAAAAACAAATCGTATATGATAATGATGATGGGACGTAGGCGTGTTACCAACTTACAAAAGATCTTTTATCATTGTAAGAAGCAATGAAGGAAAAAAAAAAAAGAAAAAGAAAAGCACTAGTTAATCAACTTTTTGTTTTAAGTAAACACTCATCATGTTTCCAAAATGTGGTGGCTTTACTCCTTCAATGTCATGACCTACAAAGTTTTTCTGTTGCTGGTAGGAAAGATATCAGTGCCTACCATTCTCAGCAGTAGACACAAATTATTGAAACCGAATTTTGCGTCCTCAAGGATGAACCTGCAGCAAACCTCTGGAGATGATATGCACATAACTCATCTGCAAAGGTTTTGCCAATCACATGGCAATACCATGGCTGGTAGACTAAAAGCAATTTTTCCTACCAAAATGCTTGTTTGTGATAACAATATAAAGAAGACAGATTCCGCCAGCGGGAGGAAAAAACAGATTCACTGATCAAATTTTAGCAAATGCATGTCTACTAGAGGGAATCACAGCAAAGGATGTAAAGAGAGAAAAAAAAAAATCAAGGATGTAAAGAGAGAAAAAAAAAAATCAATGTAACATGCTTCAGTTACTGTAAAGTCAGAGGTCGCGGGAAGTCCTTTTACATTTGCAGACTTTAATTTCTTCCTCTGCTTTTTGCACACTGACTAAAGTGAGCAGACAAGATGTAATAGAAATGCATAATTTAGCTTATAGTCATATGAGATGTAACAGCCTAGTACCTTTACTCGAATAAAACAGATACCTTCTTCTTCAAAAAAAAAGGCAGATCAATAACCAACCATAGAGAGCAAGAAAACAACAACATTAAGAAGGCAGAAACATACGAGGGGAAGAAGCCAACACGTCCTAGAAGGTAGCAAGGTTGCAATTTTCAACCATATAGTCTTCTACATATTGATGAAATTCCTTTGGTCTGCACAACCTAAGTATTGATATATCTGCACTCAAAGTTCCACAACTTCCAACAAGTGAGACAGGTCAAGAATAATCTGATCGAAACTAAGGGTAACAGAATACTATGTTTAACCAAGTTCTGCAATGCAGTATTATCTTTGAAAAAAATGATATGCAACGCATCATTCATTCCGGACATCTCACCTAAAATTGATTCAAATTACCTTCCTGTTGAGCTCGGAAACACAATATCAACTGGAGCGGTAGCGAAAGAAAGTCTTCATAGGGGATTGCCAGTGCAACATGCTTTGAAATTTTGGTCAGCATTTGCTCCAAAAGTTATGTATCTTGGGCATAAAAATCTAAAACTGAAGAACCTGTCCAAACAACTAATAACATTTTCCAGGAAAAATGAAAACCGAATTGAAGGCAGGAAATTATAAACCACACACTATTTGCGAACCTGAAGAAAGATTGATGATTTCTAATTGAAGATGGAACAGAACTTTTTCCAAAATTTTCAGCATCAACGAGCAAAAGTGTTGGTTGTCTAGATAATAAGGAGTAATAAACAGTGACTCATAATTTGGTAATAGAGGGCTGGAACCTTGAAAATTTATAGGATCCGAGTTAATAGTCACCCACAGTAATTATAGATTACCATCACCTTCACAACTTATATGGTTAAATTAATGAAGATACTCAGTCCATAGAGCTCAAAGCTAATTGGACCGAAAAAAAAGGAAAAGGAAAAGAAAATGGAGGAGAATGGAAATTTACACTTGAAACAAATTGGAGCAATTTCATAAACTTTCTGCAACATACAGAATTACAGTAGAAAATCAAAACTGTTATGCATCTTGGTAGTCCTAAGAGTGCTCAAAAGAATTTCATACAAAACACAAAAATGATTTTACTCTGTTAAAATCAGAAAGCTAAAAGAACAGCTATCTTCATCTGTCCAAATTACTTGATTTTAACATCCTATGAACTGAAACCTCCTATGCCCTGGAGATTCAAAAGGATGCTAGACAATATCACAAACAATTACTTAAGATGTAGTATTTAAAAATTTCAGAAGTGTAGGCATGTGAGAGAAAAGAGAATAGACAGATGTGGAAGATACGGTTGCATCAGAAAGCGAAGCCTTTATTTTTAGAGTGAGAAGATAGCAACAATGAAAGAATGCATTCAAATTCAGGTGGTAAGGAACAAAAATGCACTGCTACCCATCTACTTATAAAAACGTCTCAATTGAAATCCCTAAGCCTCTTCTTCAGTACGTCCATTGATTTTTTCCGAGCACTCTGCTTTGAAGTTCTATTTGACAGGCTTCCAAAGAGACCATCAGTTGAATCCTTGTACTTTTCACAGATTGTCGCCACCTTTTTATAGTCCAAAGCATTATAGTTCTTTTCCCGTATCACAGGATTCATGAAGTTCTCTGGCTGACTGCTCAAAAGAAGGTTTATTAGCTGCCGGGCTTCTATCAGGCAACCAAGAAAACTGCCCTCTTTATAAATTTCACTCAAGCCAGAACTATGAAACCTTTCATCTGCAAATGATTCTAACGTCTTCAGATCATTATTGATTCCCATAACTGCATTAGCATTGAATCTCTTCACAGAATCACTGAGAAAGGCACCCATTATAGAATTAGCAATGTGTTCAAGCGCACCACTGCCTATCTTGTACAAAGCATCCAAGGGTAATATTTGCTGAGCAGTGGACATAACTGTGTCAAGGTAGATAACCACCTCATGCATGTATTCGCTACCATGCTGTGGTGGCTCTTCAATTGTCCAATTCACATTTTCTGAAAGTGCCATAAACTCATCCAACTTGTTATTCACCAAGCTTAGTAGAGCAAGATAAGCAGCATCCCTTGAAGTTTTAAGAACTATCTTCGCAGTCAAACTACCTTGAGGCCTTTCAACTGATCGGACTGGGATTCCACATTGTTGTGCTGCATGCTGAAGAAAATAATCACAAGCTCTTTCAAGAACAGCAATGTTTGCAGCAATCTGCATAGCTTGAGATACGCCAATACTCTCACTCTGGATTGTGTTCAATATGACCTCATTTAAGATATCAATTAACAGCTTGTCCAGATACGTTTTCACAAAATCAAAGAAGTTCATTTGGCATCCATGAGATAAGTAATTAACAGAGTCCTTGATAAATGATCTGACAATGCGACAACACTCTGGTACTGAAGAAGAGAACGGAGCAATGTATGGAAAAGCAGGCATTATATCAGAAGTCTGCAGGTGGAAGAGTAAAACATTAGCTTGGTAATCTGACTCTTTCTTCATCACCATCTGTTCATATGAATCATTGGTAATAACATCTGTTATTTGTTGCCTACACTCTGCTAGGAGAAGCTCATGATACTTGCTCCGACTACTATTGAGAGTCTCGAGAATGGGGCCAACTTCATAACCATATTGTCTGAGAGTTGCACCAAGAAGAGTCACATAATCCTTAACCAAAAGAAGATGGCTTGCGGTATCCATATGGGAAAACTGTTCCTCCAAGACAGAAGTAACTTTACCAACAGCTGTTTCCCACATTGTCTCAACCTGATTGGGTAGGAGCAGCCCTCCAGCAGTCCTCAAAACTCGATCCTCAACAATAAAATAACCAGCAATTTGTGCCAGAAACGTCTGATGTGATTCAAGAAAGGGTTGAGTTGATGAAATTTGCAGGTCAGAGCTCAGCTGTAGTAACCTGTTCTTATAATAGTACTCGCGAAACTGCTCTTTTATACCAAGACAACCGTGAATGTGGAACGCCCGATAAATAGGTGTAAGATCAAACTTCAAAACAGAATCTTCATTAATCTCTTCCACATCTAAGGTATAAGTAAAATCTCCCAATCCTAAACAACTCTGCTCCTCAGCTTTCCTTTGACGAGACAGCATATCCTCATCCCTCTGACGCGCTGCTGCTGCATGTGCTATTGCAGTCTGACCAATATCTTTTGCACTGCTCCTAATGTTAACTAACCACTCATTAACTTCACTGCAGAGCTTCTTTTCAATATGAGATTTAATGATTGGTATCCTTTCCTCAACGAGTGCTTTCAGTTTCTTCACAGGAATACGTTGCAGAAAGTTTTTTTCAATGAGATCAACAGCTTTGAGAGCAGGGAAAAACCGAGCTTCAGAAACATGATCATTACACTTTGCACAAAGCTCCAGCACTTGAACACAAACTTTAGACATCTTAATTGCTTCAGTAATGTTCTTCTTAACTGAACAAGACTCAAGAAGCTCTTCAACCTTCAAAAGTAATGCACTACCAACTTCTTGTAACCTGAAGTTGTCACTGGCAAGTTCACTTTTTAATTCCTCAGCATCAACCAAGACACCACGGAGTTCATCCACCGCACTTATAAACTCCTCGTAATGAAGCTTACAGAGCTCCTCGATCTCAGTTTCTTTCTTCTTGACTGCAAGCTTGAGCTGATTTAGAAGGGCTTCTGGCTTCCTTGTCTCAAAAGAAAGCCTAACCATTGGACCCAAATCCTCTCCATTGTTAATCATAGTCGCAAGTACAGAATCTTCATTGGGGTCCCCATTTTCAGTGGCAGTCCTCCTCTTCGTTTTAGCACTCATTGCCTTTCTCAAGACTATAGAAATACAGCACCCTCCAAAAAGGACTAAAACGTAATAGGATACTTCACTTCCACTGATTGCCTTACCTTTTCAGAAACAAACCAAAGTAGAACTACTCAGAGACCAAAATAACCAAAGACCTCTAGATTATGAAACAAAACAAGACATTCAATATTTCAAAGCAACATCGAATGATTAAAGTAAAAACAAATAAACCCACATGCAAATAAGCTTGGATTGATACAATTTACATTTTGTGACAAAAAAAAAAATAAAAAATCATAGATCCCAATTCTAATTTAAACAAGGTAAAACTAAACACTCGGAAGGATAATAGAGCAAAAAAGAACAAAAGAGGAAATAAAATCAATCCATCAATAAACCAGCCAAATGGGTTCGAATTCCTAGCATTAACGATCAGAAATCAACATCATAACATCCATTGAGTCCTCTATTAAACACCGAAATGAAAACATTACTGAAATGGGTTTTCTCAATTAAAGAACTCACCTAATAGTGGACGGAACTGTTGAACCCTGGTTCTGCTCTGGTCTGTTTCTTTCGGGAAGAAGTGAAAATGTCGCCAAAATATTGGCTTTTTTCTCAAGGGTTTCGAAGCCGTGGAGCTCTATGGTAATGGGTTCTCTCAATTTCTTTTGGTATCGATGCAATCAATGACAGATTTTCGAGAATGATGTGAAGAGAGACAGGTTATTCTTTGCTGGTAGTATATATGTGTTCTGATTCTTCGATTTCTTTTTTTGCAATAAAGAGCCAAAACCATACAAGGTTGACGGCGTCCAGGTGAACAGAACAAAATATATATAAATAATATAGTAAAGTATTCTAAACTGAAATTAAATACTACTAGATTTGAAACTTTCTCAAAATTAAAGGGCAAAATTCTATCAAGTTCTATAAGTAAATCTATAGTATTATACTAAGAGAGAAACCAGAGAAAGAAAACAAAAAAAATTCTAAAGTGTCATATAAGATAAAATCCTATGTGTCATTTTTCTAATGGTTGAGTCAAAAAATATTTACAACAATTATACTAATAGTCCTTCAAATTTATGTAAATAAAATTTTATCAAATGGCATTTAAAACTATAGTTCAAAATAGAAAAATAAAAATTAATTAAATTTAATTGCCAGGATTAATGAACATTAATGCACCAGAATTATTTCCTCTCCAAAAGAATCCCCAAAGTTACTACTGGACTCATTTAATTAATTTCTTTTAAAAAAAATATCCTTCCCAATCATGTAAATCAATAAACTACAATTTAAAAAAAAAAAAAAAACCCCCAATCATTCAACTTAATGTTATCTTCAAAATCTTCTCTAAAAAACATGACCCTGTATTTTTCGCCAATAAAAAAGAAAAAAAAAGGTACAAAACTTGCCTTCAATTATTACTAAAAGGATGGGATTTAACTATGATTAAATGTTATCTTTTGAATTTCAAACCAATGCATTTATTTGTGTAATATCATATTTACCCAAATAAATATAATCTTTTCTTAATAATATCTGAAAGTTGTTATAAACTCATTCTTTATCACTGAAATTTTGGATAATCAATTATCATCAATCCTAATTTATCTCTATTTATTTCCACTTTTGGATTGTAAAATTTTGGATAGTAAAATATACTCCAAAACACCTACAGTACTGATGGATTATAAATAAAAATAGTAAATTTATTTTCCAGTTTTTATATTTTTTTTGTAGATTTTTTATAATGTATATAAATAAATCCCACGCATCGCGCGGGTTTAATATCTAGTCTTCTATATAATATAATAATAGAAAATTCAGAGAGAAGAAACTGGAATAGTTTTTCCATTAACACGTAGGACTGGCAATTTTTTCCATTTTTTTGATTTATTAAAAAGGAAAAAAAATTATATCTTTGGTTAGAAATTTGATTTTGAAAATTGAAAAAAAGATGGGTGTTGGTAAGTATCAAATGTAATCCCTAAAATATCTTTTATATATCTCAAAATTTACTTAATATTAGAATATTAAAATAAATATATTGAACTAATGAGAAAGATACAACAGAGAGAATTTCAAATAAATTCTCATGAGAGATTTGTATTCCTTATCTTTTGAGAAATTTTGGGAATTTGAATTATTGATAAAAGAAATTTATAAAAGAATGCAAACACTCGGGATGATTATGTTTTATTTTTACTATCTTTTTTTCTCTTTTCTACGGGTCTCAATATGATCAATTCGATTAAACGTAATAGTATTTTCCTATTTCGTTTTTATTGTTTCAATTAATATAGTCTGAATTGAAATTTTCTTTTTTCTTCTTTTTTCGCAGGTTAAATTTTCAATAGAGGGGCTTTCAGAGTACACTCTCGATTTCCAGACACTACTATGTTATAGTTTAATGTCCCTTTTGTTCTCCCATTAGTTTGTGTTTGTGCAGTACATTATCGTACTTCGAATTGGGTAGGTTATTTGGATTGAATGTTGTATTTTTTCTTCAAGATTTGATTTTAATTTTTTCTTTTTTATCTCATACTAATTTACACAAACTTTCTCCTTAAATGTATAGACCTATTATTATTGCTAATTTTCTCTATGACAGAATTAATTAGGAATATCTTTAAATGGTAACTTGATTTCACTGATTTTTATCTTTTTAAGAAAAAACTATTACAGTTTGCATTAATCTACCATAATTTCAGGTTACTCAAGATGAGTACTTTAAACTAAAAGCAAATAAAGGAAGAAGGCAACGAGAGGTAATTTTTTTTTTTCTCCCAAAGGCGCGAGGAGGTTATTTTGGTGTTTTAACCTCAATTACCATTTACTTACAACTTTCAATAATCACCCATCGAAAAGGATAATGGTTATAGCCCACGGCATTAGATTGGTAAAGATCTTCAAGTCTTGAGCAGATGGGAGAATTTTAGCACGGGGGTTGAAGGAATTAAAAAGATATCTCTATCCAAAAATAGTCTAGCTGTATAGTTGAACATTGTATAAAAGTGAAATGAAATTTAAAATTACGATTCAGTACAAAATGAAGACAAGTTTTTTTGTCATTTGTTTATCAATGACGATAAATGAAAGTGAGGTCCAGTCCGAGTTAGATTATATGTATCATATTTTGTATTCGGTCATGAATTGGTTATTCAATACAATGAATTAAAGTAATACTATGTGATCAAAACGGTTATGTGTGAAACAAACTATAAATGTTATTACAAAAAAGTGTTCAAATTTATGGTATATGTAATTCAAATTTAAAAAGTTTTTTTTCTAATAATTTTTTTTATTTGGTGTCCAAATAAAGTCACACAATTTATTTGAATATTACTCTATTCCTTATGTACTGCATTATTTGAACACTAACTGCATTTTTGTACACTAATTGATTCATGATTAACGATGCTTGAAATCTGTATCATATACATTTTTTCAAACATTTGTTTATTTCATTATTCTTATTTAAATTGCAATATTTCTGCCCCATGCAACGCACAGATAGCATCTAGTAATCTTATATTGCATCTAGTAATGTTGTATTGAGGTTGGTGAAAAGCTAGCAACAGTCTCAAGATGAAACCACAAATCTAATTTTTATTTGGGAAAACAATTTTGATTTTGAACTGCCAAAATGTAGGTGCTAGATAGACATGATATAACTAATCCAAACTAAAAGTTCGAAGATAAATCTTTTTATTTTTTTAATCATATTACTATTTACTATTTAATTATTGGTCTTGTTTTTGTTTTGGTTTTTTTTTTTTTTTTTTTTTTGAAAAAGGATTATTGGTCTTGTTAGAATAAACTAGTAAACCCAAGTGGTGAATATATTTGACAAGTGTAATTATATCAGATGGATAACACCCCAAAATAAAAAAATACATTCATCATCGTGTAATACTTTAAGTGTAACCTCATAAGACGAGTAATCTAACATGCCCATGGTCCATTTAAAACAAGCGTTTGATAAAGTGCCAAGGATAAATTTGGTTCGAATAATTGTTTCGAGATAGGATTCAATCAGAGAATTTTTTTTTTCAAAATTTTATTTGTCCATGTTCTTTTTAATGTTTTCAGTTTTTTAAAATGATTGTAATGTAAGTGCTTTAAATGATCCATAATTACTTGCTTCACTCAAATTCTCTCATGTGTATGGTTCTGAGTTCGTATAGAGTTGTTAAACTCTTTAAGCTTATGGAGAACTCACGTAAGAAAATGTTATGATGAAAATTTTCGTATAAAAATTAGCAAAGGACTAACGGAGAAGTAAACACTTTTTTAAGTATAATTTTCAAGGGCTAATATGTAAATAATTTTCTTAAAGAAGAAAATAAGGTTAATATCAGAAACATCCCTGGTATGGTCAAATATCTAATAAAATTCCTCAAGGTATCAAAAATATCAAAACTCTCCTATGAGTGGCGGGAGTAAAAAAAAAGTGACGGAAAAAGACCCAAACATCCCAACAAATCCCCAGTCAATTAAACCCTCTCTCAAGTCTAGGGCCGTTAGATTGGGCGATTCGATCAGATCGGGTGATATTCGGTTCGGTTTAATAAGTTTTTCCTCCTCACAAGAACCGTTCGAAACCGAACTACAAAATGTATTCAACCGAACCGAGCCGAATAAGCGTTCGGACTTTTGGTTCGATCCACGTTTCAATGGATTTATAACACATTGACCTGTCACTTTGACGGTTTGACATCATTCATTTATTCTCATTCAAAGTTTCAAACATCATTCAAATTTGAAAGGAAATAAAGGGTCAAAATATCAAATGAAAATTGTTCAAAGACAATTTCAGTGTCCCCTATCCAGTCCACAACATCAACATCACAATAATCAACAATTTCAACAAATGAAATAGTTTCACAACTTCATAATTCCACAATATCACAACAGCTTAAGTTTAACAGTTTCAAATTAAAAACTTAAGTTTTAACCCTTCAAGTATCTAACAATAGAAAAGCAACTTCATAAATCAAAACAGAACTTTAGAGTTCAATCTTCAATCTTCAGTGATTCAGACTTCAACTTAGAACTAGGCAGCCTCAGCTTACTTCAGGTTTCAAGTCGCTTCAGTCTTCATCTTCAAAACTTCAACAGTTCAAGTGTTCAACTTGGAAATCGGTCTTTCTTCATCAACAATTCAACTGGCAGCACAACAGGCAATCAGGCAGCAAATTCAGTCATTAAAACCTTGTCTATGAAGCTCAAAAACTAAGTATAAATTAGTAAAGTCTAAGATTTACCTATTATTTCAATTCTGACAGCAGCTCTGATCACAACAAATCCTATCTCATCCAGATTTTGTTCCCTTTCAGCAGCTAAAAAAAGAAAGAAAAACATTCAAATATGAAATTAATACGCAGCTGGAAAAACAAATACGTAAAAAACAGTAAAACACAAATGAATTTAAAATCATTGAGACCTTCTTCAATTTGTAGGAGATTTTCCCAACTTTCTTCAATATTTTCTGAATCAACAGCCTCTCGAAGCCAATCTTGAGTACAAATTAAGCCTTGAACAGTTTTTAGTGTTAAAGAACTCGTAAAAGCATCCAATACCCTCCCACTCGTACTAAAAACACATTCAGAAGCAACCGTAGATACATGGATTGCTAAAATATTACAAGCCATTAAAGAGAGTATAGGAAATCTTGGACTGTTAACCTTCCACTGTGTCAAGATTTCAAATGTTGGACCACCTAACTCATTTGCCTCCTCCAAATATA